CCCCCCCACCCCAGCCGAAAAAATAGCCTAAGCTCTGGACATGTTGTCCTCCCAGAAGCAAAGAAGGTTACAAGTTGACTTTTTCTGTTTCTTAATCATCATAATCATAATGATGGTTTATCCAGACAAGGAAAACCCAAATAATTTTGAACTGACTGGCAATAGGGATGACAAATAGTACAAACCACAAATTGACAATAAAAAACATAATCACCAGTAATAAGTGCAAAATTTGTGGAAACTTATCATTAATGATAATTCCACGATGTGTACAGAACACACAAAGATGCCAATACTTGTGTTAAAGCACAAGTGAGGAGCACGAGGCAATTACAGGAGCACTGCAAGCATAGGAACATGTACAAGTCACTTGAGACAGAATGATAAGAGGCAAGAGGAGAGATGCTGAGCACGTAACAAATGAATGCAATTGAGCAGCTGAATGTTATCGTATCCAGACGATTAATAGATTTTCAGTTTTGTATTGCTACAATTATTTCAATTTCCTTGTTTCAGATAAAGACAATGTTGGAATTAAAACATTAAATTTACTTTTGTTTAATTATGATTCAATATTTCAAACATTATTAGTCCATTTTCAGGAACAATGAATGTTGGATTGGATTTGATTGGATTTTATTCGGTGAAAACAACAAGGATAGCCCACGAAGTCTAGAGGAAGACTCTCTTTCAGTGGGGTCCTTCTAGTGGTGATTGGGCAGTACACCGGGAGACAATCCCCTACTCTTTTCCGAAGAGTGTACTACATTCTTTAAAACGTGCACATGGGCCATAAATGCACACTGCAACTTTTTAAACGTCTCATCCAAAAGACGGTGCACTATTGTAACTTGTATTTCAGGCCTCCAGCTAAAACACAAGGAGAGGCAGCAATGGGAATTGAACCAGGGACCTAAAGATCTCCACGGTTCAGTGCACACACAGTGGCTACCAACAGGTTAGCCAACTGAGCTACACTGACCTCTCCACTCTGTTTAAAGTATGATTAATAATAGTGACTGTTAAAATTAAAAAATTTATATAAAAATAATAATTTAGCATTTTTTCTGCTCTATTACTGTAACAATAAATGCTCAGATATATTAGTAATTTTTATTGCTACAGGGTATACAACTCAAACTTTAATAGATAATGCAATACAGTACTGGTAACACATGTGCAAATAATTAACAGGAGCTATACAACTTTTTGTATATTTTCTTCTATTGTTAATTTTATATTTTCATGTATCAATGTGTAATTAATCTTAAATGTATTTTATATAATTACTAATTTAGTAGCTAGTAAGTTGGTTATTTTTTATTTATCAAGCATCAAGATTGCAATTTCATAGTTCACTTGTTTGGAATATGTCCATGTTTCTGCTGAATAACGCCAAGAACATGTGTTTTTTAAAAAACATTTTTTTGCTCAGAAATAGGCCCTAAAAAGCTTATCTAATCTTATTCAAAGCTCTTTCTACATCAAATACTGTACATGTGATTTGCATATGTGTATGGTCGTGTGATCACCATGCCCATATATGGGCAAATAATAAAACCTGTTAGGGTTGACAGAGCTTTGAGATTTAAGTTTGTCAAACCTAAGAAGTTTCTCAGAACTAAGAATGCTTCATCATCTTTTGTTTACTGTGCAGTAACCTCTTTTGACTGAGTATTGCTTTTGTTTGGGTTGTTGGTCACAACCACTACACTGAAAGTGTTGGCTTCTTTCATACATAAACTCCTCTAGAGCTTCATTTGGAATAAACGCCCCCTCTCCTCACCCACCCAAAAAGACTGTGCCCCCTCTCCTCGCCCACCCAAAAAGACTGCACACAAATCTAATATAAGCAACATCACTTCTCAACACTTTCTATTAATGTTCTACTTAGGTAGAATTACATTTTTTCTAACATGGTTGGGATAAATAAGTCTTTATGATCATGCAATAACACATTTTGACAGTAATTATGTAATTATTTATTTGATAATAATAAATGTGATTTGTAAAGCGCATAATACATAGGTCTCTATGCGCTGGAAATTTGCAAATTAAAGTAAACAAAAAAGATGAGTCTTAAGACGATTCTTAAAGATCTCAACAGAAGGAAACTCACAAACAAACTATTGAAACACCTTGGGACCAGCAACAGAGAATGCTCTTTCCCCATACGTTTTTGTACGAGATGGAGGAACGAACAGTGTAGATGAACTAGATGTGGATCTAAGAGCTCTAGAGCAAGTGGTGGAGCAAAGTTTAATCAGGTTGGATATGTATGAGGGTAATTTATTAATTCATGATTTATATGTGAAAAGCAACAATTTAAATGAGATGCGTTGCTTAACAGGTGACCAGTGCAGGCGACGAAGAATACGTGTTTATTTGAATACATACGGTATAGTATGTTTATTTGAATACATACGGTATAGTATGTTTATTTGAATACATACAGTACATTATGTTTATTTTAATACATACGGTATAGTGTTTTTGCCACACAATATTACATAGTGTGAATAGAACTATGATCCATATCTGTATAACTGAGCTGCCACATTGTGCAATAGTAGTAAAAAGCAATAAGTTGCATTTTCATTTGCTATTTCATTAATAATAAAAACCAACCTACATCTCTCTCTCTGAATTGTACAACATAAGACAGAATGTTCATAATTTGAGATCCTCTCACTAGATACACATTCGATCATGTAAAAAACCTTGGGATTCTGACAGCTTTTATGCCTCGTGGCAAAGGTTTGATTAAATGAATAATAATGAAATCTTTTTTTTTAATAATGAAATCAGGGAAAAATTCTTTTAAGAAATTTCTGCATTTACTGCCCATAAATTGATTATCTCTTTGATTTAAAAATAATAACAAAGATACGATTCATTATACTATCAATTTATTACTGTAACAGTAATTAAACATTTATATTTTCTATACACCAAAACAAAAAATAAATAAATAGCTCAATTAATAAATTTTTCTTAATTTTTCTTTTTCCACTGTTTATTTTCTCAAGCACCATAAAAAATGTATGCTTATCTACACCAATCCTTGAACTGGTGCTGTACAAAGAAATACGAAAGATATTAATCAGCTGGCTAATTGGCAGGGCCAAGTTTTTCTTTTACTAATTTTCAAATGATAATTACCTGTACTTACTTAATGAGTAATCCAAATACTGGTATTTTTGTAAAGATTATAGCTTAACAAAGACTGTATCATTAATATCAAGCAAGCTATTAAAACAACATGTTTTCAATGTATGGACTCATTATGATAGTCATTTCTTCTCCCAAGGACAAACTGCAGAATGTTTTCTGATGTGCATACTAATTTTGAAAAATATATTATAAGCAATGTGAAGTGACACATCCTTTTTACAGTATCTATCCCATTGACAATGACATTAGTAAGGACACACAGATTTTCTCACTCTTGCTTATATGTCCTGCCTGTATTATTTAAATCTAGTGTGGCTATGTTCTCACACGGCAGCTAACGGTTAGTAGGATCCGGATCCTGCTAACCGTTAGCTGCCGTGCGTCCTTACTAGAAAATCCCGATCCGGATACCAAGAATATGATGATTGAATCACTAGCCAATAAGAAACTGGAAATTGTAAACGCGTACGTGTGATTGGTTGATGATAGAAACATGCTCACTTGCTAACCGATAGTGCTTGCTAACCGTTAGTGGTATCCGGATACCGCTAATGATTAGCGCTAACCGATCAGGCATTCTCACACAGGTGCTAACGGTTAGCGCTAACGGTTAACTCCCGATCCAGATACTAGGTCTCTCGTGAGAACCAGGCATATAATATAATATGTTAGACCTAGCACTTTATGCCAGCAAGGCCATATACATAAAGATTTAAAGAAAGGAACCCATAGTAGAGCAAAGCCATGCATTAACTATGGGCGACGGTCGTCAGCCAATCTGCGATTTTATGTAGAATGTAATGCCACAGCACACGCACAGTTACTCGTTTTTAATGGCAATCTGACCCGTCACCGACAATCAGCCAGCATTGTCGCGTTGTCTAAGATCTCACAAGAAGCGGAGTTGGAATCGTTGTACGACCGTCAATGCAGTGACTGCCGGGCTTAAGAGTGATAAAAGTACATACTCAGGAAATCAAATATGGAAAACATTATATGTTCTTGATAAAAAAATTAAAAAAAAAAAACATATATTATGAGAATAGTAAATAAGCTAAATAAATATAAATACCTAAAAGGAATACAGTACTGTATAAGAATATTGCTTTTAAAGTATGGCACATTGGTATCTTTAACAATTTTTTTAAATATATATAAAAAAAAAATACTGAGATAGAAAATGTCTTGCATTCACAGTTTTTGTCAGAAAGCATAGCAAAGAATGTTGTCTTACTTACTCAAGAACCTTGTCTACAAATATGTAGTATATTGTAATGTAAGATCACTGAATATTGGATATATGGCTTGTTGCTTTGAGCCAAAAGAAATTTCTGTATTATATATTATTACTTTTGGTAAGGACATCTGATTGAGAGATGATCTAAACATAACCTACATTAGTAAAGTTCAGCTCTTATTCTTGATCATCCCAACCTTTCAGAATTTACAAAAATGTGTGGGTATCGACTGGAAGAACACATGCATTCTTATGTAAACATGATTGTGATTTTGTATTAATGTACTTTATAATGTATTACTATACCTCATGAATATTTATTAGGCAATAACATTTTTATGTTCAATTCCACTTCGCACACGGTATGGTAAGGGAAATTTCTCCTCCCTGTTGTTGGACAAGCATAGACTAAAAATATTATTTCTATCTTTATTTGTGTCTAAATTATTGAGATTTAGTTGCATATTAATGTGTCAGTAGGACACCCATTTGACAATCTTCTGGAGGCACCATGCTTTAAAATGCCATATTTGTCTATTATCATCATTCATATATAACAGAAATTTATATTGAGGACTGAGAAAATCTATAAATTATATCTATAAATGATAACTACTGTACATTTAAAAGTGTATTATTACCATACAGACATTTATTATACATTATTTGTTATTAATAGTATTTCCAGATCACCAAAGTCAAGAGACAAATATAATTATTCCCTCTTGTATTACACTCTTCCCGCCTCCATTTCCTTATGCTGTGCACCTTACTCATACTGTATGCTGTAATCTTCCCTCACATTACATTGCACTTCTCCCTCCTCCAAATTTGACTCCTTTCCTGTTACTAATGATCAAGTTAAATGTATAATAATATTATAATCTTACCTTACTGTATACAATAAGAGAAAATGAAAACAGCATGCAAACCAGGAAAAATCTAATCTCTAGTCATACAAAATTGGATATAATCTTATTCACTTATCAAGCTATTTATAATAAAATCCATGTCTTCACTGAATAAATTCCCTTATCAACATACTATCAAGGCAGGAAGAGAATGCCTACTGCTACTGCCAATGAGCAATAAAACAGAATAACATGAGTTTAACAGGTAAGAAATCAATAATGAATATTATCATAAACTTTACTTCATCACCACCCTTGAATTAAATCTTTTACAGGGATGAGCAAAATTAATTACAGTTAATACATCAGAATTATCTCTTTGATCATGAGTATGATATGAGGTTAACATTTAAAATGAAATGACTATTTCTCATGCAGAACAAATCTAGAATTTGGACATTATTAGTAATGTTTAGAATGTCTTAAAAACAATTTCTCCAGGAATTATGGATATCCATGCAATTGTAAATAGTTTAAATATGTAAATTTGTTTCCTCCTGTAAGTGGCAAACTTTGTGTTTACTGTTGGTTGGGAAAATAATAAATAAAAATAAATAAATAATAAATAAATAGTCAGGTTGCTGTTATTTTGTCAATATTAAAATTCATCTAAACATTCCACTCAAGCTTACAAAATATAACTTAAATAATTAATGAACACAGTAAATGTGAATAATAAATTTTAAAAAAGTAGGTCTTGCCATGCTTATCATTGATTAAATCCAGATTTGAATGCCTATATATTTTGTTTATAAATAAAGAATTTGAAGGCCAACTGTTAAAAAAATGTATTGGTTAAAAAACTTAATGTAATGCATACTGCAGACTGAAGTTTGCTTGATAGGATTTGTTCAAATTACCATGATATAATTTATTGTTGAAAGTTGAAGTATGCATCAATAAAAAGAACCTTAAACCACGACACAAAGAATTTAAACAAAGCAATAATTGGAACTTACTTTCAGAGTGCTCGTCCATTTTATGGTCCTTGAGTTCTGGCCGTGACTTGAAAGCACGTCCACAGATATCGCAGAGTTCATTCTTCTCCATCGTGTGTGTCTTTAAGTGTTCTCGTAAACGCCCGATTTTGATCCAGGACTTCCCACATATCTCGCAACTGAATGGCCTATGGTAGATAAAAATATGATGTATTTAAGTGAATTGTCATTGGCGGATCTGAAAAGGGGGGTTGGTGTAAGATGTTAAGATCTTCCCCCCCACATCTTGAGCTGCCAATTATTCAGGACCTGTGAGCTGTAATTTGTTTTATTACAATGGGAAAATTAGATGATATAGATGCCTGAATTGAAGGGGGTGTTGTGATGCATATACCTTTTTAGAAATTTCAATTTGAGTGTAAATCAAAGTACAAAATAAATGTATGGTAGGCATAGATCTAACATAAAAAGTTAACAGTAGAACTTTCAAGTCTTGAGAAGAGTTTACTGTGGTTTTTAAGAATTGTATTGTTTTTCATTTTGTTTCAATGCATCTTACATTTTCAATATGATAATGTATATATAGCTTGTTATTATAAAGCAATATCACTTGGCCTTAATCAATGGTGTTTTTGAAATTAATCAATCTATACAAACAAAACTTTTTTACGAACGAATTATATATTATTATTTTGTAGCATACCTCAGACATCAGTGGTGGATTCAGAGGGTTTGGATGAACCCCCTCTGTGAAGAAATGTAAAAAAAAATACTACTGGCCTACAAAAGGCATGCTAACCTACCTAGGCAAACACAGATCAGACAAACAAGGCTTAGCATAACTATGCTTAAATGAAATAAAATTAAAAACACTGGTTTTGGTTCAAAGTCGTAAGTATAATTTTTGTACGAAAGTGCATCCTTCATGATTATCGGTTCATCGATTCATGGAAAAAAAAATATGTGTGCAACTGTTCATTTTTCTTTCTGTGTATATATATACACACATAATAGGCCTATTTACTGTAATAAAAATGAGAAAATTTACATGACCATTTTTAAGAGGAGGAAAACCTTGAATTTTGAAGAACTTAAAGTCATTAAAAGGCCCCCTTATAAGTCGGAAAAGCTCATTTCCCTCCATCTAGGAATCAAAATTTTCCCGGGGGTATGACCTGGACTCCCCTTTCTTTTTTGGATTCATCGATTCATGGAAAAAAGTATAACTATGCAATAACTCAATGATTTTTCTGTATGTATATACACATAATAGGCCTACAGTATTTACTGTAATAAGAATGAGCAAATTTACCTGACTGTTTTTAAGAGGGTGAAAATCTTGATTTTTTTTTTGGAAACATTTTGACCTCCATCCCCCTCCCAAAAATTGGAAGCCAGATCTGTCCCAAATTGTAAATATACAAATGGTATTGTAATAATACCAAAATGATAATTAAATAAATAATCTTATCATTATTATCATTATTATTATTAATTATAATTCAGAATTGATTTTCAAGATCTTGGTTTATGATCCAACTTAATGACATAAGCTGCGTTACTCATTATATCCAGTGTTCTCCCGAAGCCGTCTTAGCCGTCAATTTTACCGGTAAAAATAACCAACCAACCAGTAAAAATTTTGAGTTTGTAAAATAAAAAAAACTATTGATTAGGCTTAGGTAGTCCAGGCTGGCCCTCTTAATAAATTAACATCATTCCAGTCTATATCCTGTCTCTTATACATGTGTTGTTGTGTCTTCAAGTCATTTAACCCAACTAAAAAGGGGTAACGTACCTCACATTGTGCGCATTGCAATTTTTTATGGACAAATTTACCAGTAAAAATTTTTCAGTTGGGAGAACACTGATATCAGTCAGTAGCTACAGAATCATGATAAAATTCATACTAAAAGTGGTCAAGTCTGAAAAAAAAATCATAAAAGAAGGCTGCCCAACTTTATTGGTAAATATCCAATTTTAGTGTGAATACTAAAAATGGATTCATTATTTGGTACAATCAACAAGCATTCTTACTTGTTATTGTCTGTGTGTCGGAGCTCGTAATGGTAGTTAAGTGCTGCCATTGTAGTGTAGGCCTTCAAACAGTTTTCCACTGGACACTTGTAGATCTGTTTTGGGTGCGACTGGTGGGCACTCACTAAATGCTCTGACCGTTCATCTGCAAAAGGAGGCAAATATAAATATTGATGAAAAAAAACTAATACAAAATGATATCATAAAGCAGTGTGATGTGGGACCACTGAAAGATTGAAACACCTTTGTTAGATCCAAATAAAAATACACTTCATTAACTTTCAAAATGTTTATTTAAAATTTGTTTGATGATTTTCCAAGAATTTGGGCAAGTCCCTTAGGTTACTTTTCAATATTAATTTATTCCTCAGAAATTTACCTAAATATTTTACAAATGAAAGAGCTGACTATGTAAATGTAAAATACAAATTCTTAAATTCTTTATGTTTTTAATTTTCATTTTTTATAAACATTTTTGGAGAGCCAGCTTACAGTAATATATTTTACTTTTTTTGTCATGTTGCTGTATAATTTTTCTTATTTCTCTTGTATTTTCCATGTTTTCTTGTTTGTATGTTTTAATGAATTTTTAATGACAAAATAAATAGAATGAAATGTAATTCATGAAAAAGTGTTAAATTTGTAAAATTGTACTAGGAATAAAGGCCACTCTAGAGATAAATCATTATTATCTGTCAATCATTGTAAGCAGATTTTCACATTCAGTCAACCAAGACGGAAAGAAAACAATCTGATCAAGACGACAATGGGAAAGAAATGACATGGAAAAAGATGATACAGTTGACGAGCTTGCAAGATGTAAGTTATGATACTGCTTGGTCAGGGCCAACAGTGACTCTGTGAGCCAGGGAGCACGGCAGCTAGGACCCCTGTCAGGTTGAGACGCACACGGCAGGTGGAGGTCTGAGGCGAAACTGAAGAAACATATCAAGATGTCTACAGTAATTTAAACGACTGTAGAGCAATTGTAAAATGATGACAGTGGTATGAAAACAATGATATTGACGATGAAAGATGATGGTGGCAACGATAATAAAAATTATTTGAGACCATAATGTTGATAATGATAATAATGAAGCTGAATAATGAAATAATACTGATGACAATATATGTGAGAGATAATTAACCAAACTCTACATTAGTTATAGTACCTTTGGTATTGAATGTATCCAGACAGTCATTCTCTGTGCACTGGTGCCTTTGCTTCTCTGGGTGCACTCTCATTGTATGATTTTCTAGCCCGAGTTCCATAGAAAAGCTTTTCTCACAAAATTTACACTTTACTTGCACTGGTCCCTTTGGCAACGGATCTGTTAAAGGAATACAAAATGTTAACAGAAAATCTGAGAGAAATAATATATTTATTTTTTTAATTACATTTTGTGACCAAGTTTTCATTCTATATTGTCTGATAAAAGTTTTGTTTCTTTGTGTGGTAACACAAGGTGCAGTTACACGCCTAGAATCATGCTATAGTACACTACTACTGTAACTTGAAAATAAATTATAATTGTCTACACTGCTTATTGCACTGTGGAGGGAGGCCATTTCAATCTATAGTGCCAATGTACGGAACTCTCTTATATATTGAGATTTTCACTGCTATGAAGTGAAAAAGTGGGACAGACGCATTACATACCTTCTTCAGCTGCTCTCCTCCGATGACGCTCCAGATGAATCGGTGACCGGAACGCCCTCTTGCAGATGTCGCAGCGGAACTTCTCTGACATTGTCCTTTGTCGCTTGCTGAGCTCTGGATGGCATTCTTCCTGGTGTGAATTGATCTCGGTGAGAAAGTGAAAAGCTTTATCACATACGACACATATCAGGTATGTTAGTGTCGGATTTGCATGCAACTCTCTATGATACGTCATCCAAGATTCTGTAGGGAACGATAAACTACATAATTCACAGTTGAATGGATATTTCTCTGGATCGTCGGCCGTAGGTATACACTCATCTTTCGGTATCTTTGGTAGATCTGTATTGTACTCCTCATCTTCTTCATCTGAGTATAATCGCTTTTTCCTCTTCCTGCGCTTCCGCTTCTTCGGCCTAGGTATAGGCGGGCGGCCATCCTTACGTGGACGTCCCCTCGGTCGTTTGACCAATACTGGCGGCGGCTGAGGCTGGGCTCCATCTCCTTCCTCAAAGTCTTCTTCCAATCCTTCTTGATATTCCTCATTTGCTACATTATCCTCTTCATTATCTATGCCTTCAAATTCTGAGACGAAACCTTCTTCGGTGTTGCCATCAGGCATTTCTATATTTGTCTCATCATCCAAACCTTCATCTTCTGAAGCAAAAAACTACATGTCATTAAAGTACTCAGCATGATTTTTTAGAGAAAGATTAGCAAACATTTTTTTTTTGGGTGGGGGGGTGGGAGTAAAACAAAAAAAATGAAGTTGTTGCAATTGTCATTCCATACCTGAATCATTTCTTTCCCTGTCAGCATAATCCAACTTTATCCCACAAGTTTGTCTGTGTGACATGAATAATGTTGATGTATTAAACGACTTGCCACAGAGCACGCATTTCCGACTTCTCCTACTGCCCATAACCTCTGTAGGCATTTCAACAACCTTAAGTTTCTCCTGTTCTTTGGCAGCTTCTGCAGCCTCAGCTAAGGCAGCCTTCTGTTCCTCTGTTAAGGGCTGTTTCTTTGGACGGCCTCTCTTTCGTTTTGGAGGCTCTTCCTCCCGTTCTGCTTCAGGGACGGGTTCCACAACCAACCCCATCATTGCAAACTCTTTGCCTATTGGCATATCTTCAGTAACCTGTAAGAAAAACAGATTATAAATTTTGAAAAACGATTTTGTTGTTGGTTCACTAATTTAATCGCAATTCACCTTCCATGAGTATGTCTCTTTTTTTATGCATTTGTTTTTCATGTCAATTATATTAAAACTGTGTCTATAGTTGTTAATGCTTATGTATAATTATTGAGATTCAATATTTTTGAGGTAGCATTTATATTTTTCTTATAGCATTTTTATATTTACCTGCCTATATATTTTGTATGTACTGTCTAAAGGACTTTTTCAGTCAGCTTTGCTGGAAGAACCCCTTATGAAATTTTGTTGAATAAAATAAAATAAAGAAATAAAGGAGCTAAAGAAACGATCAGTGGTACAATACCTCTAGGAAGAACTTCTTCCCTTGTTGAATCACAGTGATAGTCTTCTCAGCCCCGGTCTTTGCTGGTTTAATGAAGCGGAACCACTGAGGAAGACTGGCATCAGTGCAGTCAATTACAAACCACTCTTTACCCTCCTCCACCAGACACTGCCATTGAAAAAAAAAAGCACAAGTTGATAATCTGAAAGCCTAGGCAGAGGGAAAAGGGGGTACAGTAGCCTAGGTCATGGCTTTTTCTGTAAATACTGCAGCCCATCAGCCAGTGGCATCTGGTAAATACCCCAAGGACTAGTTTATGGTTATGGAGTGGATCATCTTCATGGAACTTAGAGATGCGCCATGTAAGCATGGAGATATTATTGAGAAGATCACTCAGCAACAGATACTATGCAACAAGCCAATGGATCATCTTATTATTAACATTTTTTTCGTTGGCAACAACTTGGCAACAGCAGGCTTTTATATGCTTCAAAACAGCAGTTGTTCGATAAACCATTTGATTTTAACCCATTAAATATCTTTATAATTAACAATGTTCCCCTGATTGAGTTTTTTCTGACTTTTAGTATGTTATTATGTGTATACTTCAGGAGCGGATTCTGCAAAATATTTCTGTTGCAATTACAGTAGTTGCGGTCCATGTTCATTATAATTTTGTCTAAAGATTGAATGGTTCGACTATAAAAATGAGGTGTGGAATAAAACTGAAAATTACTCTGACTTTGGATTAAATTTTCAAATAGTTATCCCTAAACTTTGTTTATTATAATCCTCAATCATTCCTTAATTTACATCTGGTAAAACTAGAATTATCAAGTTCTATCCGATTTATGGAAATTCAGGTTGAAATATACCACACTTTTAAATCTCATTTAAATTCAAAACTCTTTTTTGTAGAAAATATTAATATATTTGGTATTTTTTGAAAGACAAATGTATTCGCCAAGGTGGAAACGATTGCGCAACCAGAGTGATTGACACTATAGTGCACATTGAGAAAATAAGATGCTCTCCATTTCGACTGTTCAATTTATTGATATATTAAACCCGCTGAGCATTTGGTGGCAGGGAACACATTAGACTTCAAAGCATCACGTAAACGCCCCTCACACGCTGCGTCAGCTTTTTACTTGGCTCATTTGCATAGCACTGTGTGCGCGGAGCTTTTTCAAGTGATCTTAATAATACCTACAAGATGTAACTAACAAACAAATGCAAGTATTACCTTCCAGGAGTTGGCTGGTGGTGGATCGTCCTTTTCCAGGATGCCGACAGTCCCTTTGAATGGTCCATAACGATGGCCTTTCACCAAGTCTTGTTTTGCTTTTATTACAATACATGCTCCAAAATCTGGTGGGAAAATTGAAATATAGGTCTCCCTCTAATTAAAGACCATTTTTTGGATCAGGGTTTCCATGGTCTTTAGTACCATTGGTCTCTAATTAGAATAAAAATAAGACATTTGTTAATATGGGACCATGGAAAAGTGGTCTTTAAGTGGAGGTGGTCCATAATTGCCTTGTACATTGTATGATAAAATCTGATTAAAATTAATTATTAATAACAATTAAAATTATAATTAATTTCTATATAACGGGGAAAATAAGGCACACTAATTAATAACATTCCTCAAAGAAATAACTGTTTTAAATGCAAGAACTAAACATTGGAGTTCTGGTTGTAATGTACAGTACTGTAGTCACATTTGTACTTGTCGCCAGGACAGGAGGCCTGCCAGGAGACTGCATTAAAATTTGGGAGACTCTCAATCGATTGGGAGGCATGAAGCCTGAGTGAGGGTTAGAATGTAACCTACTGTATTATCAGGGGTCCCAAGTTTGAAGAACCCATTTCTAGGAGATTACTTTAATGACATTGGGAGCGCTATATATTCTATATGAGGAAAAAGTGTAGGTACCAAACGAAAGGCCACACACACCATGATCGATTGGGGCCGAGGTGATGACATTTTTGAAAATACTATAGGCACCTTTTTTAGAAGCCTGGAAGCCTGGCACCAATAAAACAAAAAAATTAGTTTTTAACTAAATTTGCAGGAGACAAGTGAATTTCCGGGAGATTTTTGCTTGTTTGCGGGAGACCATACTGATTTCTGGGAGACTTGGGACCCCTGAGCCTGAGGCTGTATTTTATTGCATTTATTGACTATTTTAATATAATTATCAGATGAAAGCTAGCTAGGCCTAGCCCTCCCTAGTTATGCCAAATGAATGTGTGGTCTCAGCCTGGCCTCCACAACAGCCCACAGACCTATTCCATACTAGGCTAGGCCGACACTCCCTCCCGCCAATAGTATACAGTAGGCCCAGGGCCTAAGGCGTAAACACACTGTTCACTCGTGCCTCACTGACACTGTCCGTTGTTGAAATGTACGTAGGCCTAGACCTAGGCCCTAAGGAGATATTCACATTACGAAATTACTGGTAGGAGACACAATTAATATATTAAACGATTACACATTAATCATTTTGTTAATTGATTAAAAACGATTTACTATGACTTAATACCGATATCCAAACACCACTCGCGCGAGGATTTCAAACACAATATTTAATATTTTAATAATAAAAATGTTGACGACGAACGAGGATGGAACGAGGCTATAGCAACATTTTTCAAAAAAGTTCCAGATCAATAACGCTCAAATTAATGTAAGTAAAAGTCTACAATATATCCTAAAACCTACGTTATTAAATTTAATATTATTAGTGAAATTATTTTACAAATTTATAGTATTTTATGAGATTTATAATGAAAACTTCTGAAACAAATCCTCACCATCTTCGGACGCCATGATGAATATATCCCACAATGCAGTGTAATTTGTTTAAAAATTAAACCGGGTGAATACTACACAAAATAAAAGGGAATCAATAAGGCAAGCCATAAATACACAATATGAATAAATATTAACCTTTATGCAAAATTTTAACATTTGGTAGTTTTTCTTATAATAACAGAAAACAAAAAAAAATTTGACGAAGTGTTGGGCAATTTGAAGGTTGATAATTGATATATATCTTTACAGTTTTCATTCCATAGTTTCTACCCGAATAAATGTTTGAGCTCATCTTTTGAGGGCGTCATCATCAAAACAAAAGTTTCTCAAGAGGGCGGTAGAAAAATGGCTGCGCCCTGTGAACGCTTGACAGTAGATGTAAAACGTTGCTCCAATAGTTAGCTGTTTGTATACAAATATGGGTATTTAACGTCGACCTACAAAAACAAAGAAAGCTCTTTTGAAGCTCTGAGCCCATTGTTAAGCAAAGGGTGTAGTCTACGTATAGCGAACGCTTCTTTAAACAATAGGATAGACCAGTTTCGGGATCTGTCAATAATGTTAGTACTAGAAAATATTAAACCTAATTTATTACTTACATTACAGACGACATTATCATTTTCAAGTATACTTTCTTATCTGAGATTAATCAGTGGACCTTTCGGATGTTGCATAATATTGTTTGATATTTATTGAATTTTTTCATATAATTTCAGGTCTTTAAGGATGACAGTATCATGGTGCCATTCTCAGCAAGTATGGTAGGCGGAGTGGTTGTCGTTTGTTGTATGACCCCATTTGACGTTATCAGCACACGATTATACAACCAAGGAGTTGATGCCAAAGGTCGAGGGCTCTACTATTCAGGCTTCCTCAACTGTTTCTACAAGATCCTCCGAAATGAAGGCGTGCTGGCATTTTATAAGGGCTGGTCAGCATCGTGGTTTAGACTAGCTCCGCACACTGTACTAAGTTTAGTATTTTGGGACCAGACAATGGAGCTCTATAACAATTTCAAATCTGAATAAATTGGTACACTACCTTTTAAACTTTCATTTTACACTACAGGAACTACCCAGTTCCGTTTTGATGATAAAGCAGGTTGCGATATAGTTTAATATATTATTTTTTGGGATGTAATATTGTGGATGATTTTTATTTGGCCAGTCACTTAATTAAAATTTGATTTTACCCATTGTCATTATCATTTATAAAACGAACCAAGCTATGGTCGACCTGATATTTTTTTTTTTCTATTCGTCAAAAGTATGGAAATAAAGACAGTATCTTTTGCTATAGAATTGAACAGTTAACTCTTGTGTTATGTTGTTGTGTGCGTAGAAATCAAAGATACTATAAACACAAGATAGGGTTCTCCACAGAAAATAACTGTTCCACCAAATACAAACAGTAAGGCGCCGCGTACGGCTGGATCTAAAAAGCTTATGCCACTGTTGCATAACTGTGAATACATAACCTCCTTTTGCGGAGGTATAAATCGTTGCCATTATCCATAAGATACAACAAGCAGGCATAAATAATTCAAAATAATAAAATGACAGACACCAAAGTGCAGAATCGTATGATAAAGTTTTCCTCCATAATTGGACAAAAAAGGGCGCCGTGTGCGTCTGGATATACCAAGGGATATACTTATCAACATGAGGGCGCCCTATACGTCTAAACCAAGTATAGAAAAACTTGCACTATAAAAAGAGAAGGGCGCCGCGTGCGTTTGGACCAATTTCCGCCTAATTTTTGCTATGCGAGTGCTCTATCTTGTATTTCTAAGTATCTTTGGTATGGAAATAAAAAATACACGCATTACGCGTGCGTTCGGAAGCATTCTAAATCAATGAACGCGGGCGACATTGTCATGGAATTAGCGTTGTCAGGGTATTGATATGTAAACAGTTAAGATTTAGAGAAAGAGAACAAACTCAATTGACATAACTGTTGAGTAGGGCCTAGATGGTTACATCAATATATTTACGACATAATGGATTTCGATATGTATGCCGCCATCACACAGTGTGATAACACATTGGCATGGCATCTCATACGAGATGTGGTTGGCACAGAGCTCCTTGGCAAAGACATTGTCCCAGTACCTTCTCTATCAGAAGCTCAGCAGTTCGACATTCTCACATTATTTGTGAAGGAGAAACGCTCTCTTCTAGCCCGCCTTCAAAAGAAACGCCCGACATTCCGAATCCTCGGACCTCTAGAACAATTCCTTGATCACAGAAAGAGGGATTCTGCTGGAGTCATGAACAAAATGACGGCTCTGGTGAAGTCTGCACAAGTTTTCTGTAGTGATTACTTCTACAGAAGGTCGGGGATGGTTGAGGGATTAAGAAAATCAATCCAGCTCTCAATCAAGCAGACGGAAAAATATATTGCGCCTCTGACATCGACATATGGTGACTTAATCCTTGACATCACGAACCCGCAACTGAAGGGCAAGAAGAAGGTGTACCTGGTGAATGAGGTGTGCTACGCGAGGTATATAGACCTACTGACATGTTACAACGCAGACGAGGATTACAAGGACTACCCAAAAGGAACACCAGTAGGATTCACGTACGTCAAGATTCCGATGGCAGCCAATGGCATCATCGGACCAGTGAAAGAGTGCAGCCAACTTACACGAAACGACAATGTCGATTGGAAATTTGAAACCACCGATAGAGCACGTCTATTAACGTCAGAGGAGATGGAAATCTGATTGAATAAGAAGACAACATAAAATTACATAATAATTGTAGTAAATAAATATTGAAATTTAGGCCCAGTTTAAATTGATGTTTTTGTATTAATTGATGGATAGTACTTCGTCAATATGAAACACATCGTAATGTATGAAAATAAAATCAAGATACGAATCAAACAATTCAGAAATTCAAATGAATAATTTAATTGTTTGCATCCCAGCAAACTCAAAACATTATTATAACATTAGCGAAAACCTTTGTGGTTAGGTTATATCAGAGAATAACGTTAACACAGCGTTGCAGCAACGATAGGAAAATTAGTTGAAAATTACGGTACCGGTATGTTATAAATACGCAACGTTTATGGTTCTCAAATGAACGCTTTGCTAACCAAACAGGGCGGATCCAGGGGGGGGGGGGGGGGAGTGCTCCGCCGTTCCGAGTGCTCCTCCGTTCCGGCGGGGCACTCCCCCCTCTCATCACTTATTTATTCTGAATATGTTGTGCCCCTCACCCCACCCCGTTTGAAAAAATTCTGGATCCGCCCCTGCCAAATTCTACCGTTATAATGTTAACGTAGAATTGAATAGAGTTTATTTTGAGTATAACAGGTACTGTAATTTTGATGTACATTCGTCTCACCCAATGAGAACCGTGCGGACACAGAGCGTCAATTTAATACATGACGCTCGAACATGTTTACGATTCACACCCGACCAAGGCCCAGACTAACGGCTGGGTGAACCTTCCTTTTAACGGATTTGCATCGAAACAATATCACAATGTTTCCGATTAGATATTTATGGATTACAACAGCATGCATATCCGTAGCGTTCGTGTCATGCCTGGATCTGTCGCAATCACAAGCAGAGGTAACAACATTACAAGGGGATAGAGTAACACGACAACCCAGGCCTCTGCTATCAACAGTAAAAACAACGTCGCCGCTGACACACATCAGCGAAGCGGATCGTTCTCCTATCGACTTCGAGCCCAGGCAGGACACACCAATTATTATTAATCGAATTATAATTTATTGATAACCTATCCACTTATTTATTTATTGGATCAGCTGTCAAATTAATATTTTAATGCTAGTGAATAAAACATGGCTTTGAACCAAACAGTACATTAACCCTGAAAATTGACTGGAAGGCAGTGAAATGTTGTTTGCTTTTTAAATTTTATATTATTAGATGTGCTATATAATTTTACGAGAACTAGTCATGGTCACGTGTAATGTACATACATGGCAGTGCGTGCTTCCGATAAGCAATAGTGCGGAGTGCATTAACAATAAAATTCATCATTCAAAGTCAACCTATGGTGGAGTTGTTGAGGCACTTGATGTGTTGGCAATCTCCTGCCACTGGTCATGGTATATATCTGTCTCTTATACACATCTAGATGTGTATAAGAGACAGCGTTACCATATTAAACGATAAACCGGTAATGAAATCGAATTAACTAGCAGAGATGGAAAAGTATAGGCCTACGTAATGTATTAGTATACAAGTTCAAAAAATGAAATGAAGTTCGAAAGGTATGTTTTTTTGTCTAATACTATGAACTTTATCTGGCTTAGTAGTAGTAGTAGTAGTAGTAGTAATAATAATAATAATAATAATAATAATAAAAATAATAATAATAATAAAAATAATAATAATAATAAAAATAATAATAATAATAAAAATAATAATAATAATAATAAAAATAAAAATAAGTGGGATTTGTAAAGTTGGATAGGCCTACTTATATACTTAGTCGAGTTATTCGTATTGACTCCTAAAGTTCCTAATTAAAGGTATCGACAGTTTGATTAGCGATTAATAATAATGTTAACTGTTGTGTTGTTTTAGAACGACGGAAAATTCTTTGCTAAAAAAGGGCGATTCAGACACAGACAACAACGATTCAATGGGAATCAGCAACGACCAAGTCCTGTTGAAAACAAACGCAAAGGCTAATGTACTTTTTCAACCGCTAGAGGGCGATATTTTTCTAGGGACCATCAATGTCAATTTAAGTCGTGTAATGAAAGGAGAACCGGTACGTTTGTCATTATTCGTGCACATTAGGCCTACTTGCGCAGGTTGCGTGAGCACACACCGTAATAGTAACATATATTATTTGATAAAATTTTAATGATAGACCTAATGTACAATCACACTTCTTTTTCTGCACTATTACAGGGCGTTCCCGGACCAAGTGGTCCAAGGGGCCGACATGGAATACAAGGAGAACCAGGGATAAAGGTAGAAATAATTTGATTTGTGAAGTTATTATTCTTATTCTCCTTCTTATTCTTCATAGGTAATTCTATAATAATCATTCAATGATTCATAACAGCATTCCCTATTCCCTGCTTACGTAGTCAACTCAACTTCTAATAAATATTAATGGTCAATTGTTGTGCTCTTGTTTCGCATAGGCCTATAACATTCGTCACTATGCGCTTTCCAGAGAAAAGAAAACATAAATAAGTGAATAAGATCGTACGGATTATAATTAAGTTATATGATGTGTGTTGATTTTTGCTCGGTAATTTATGTGATAACATATTTACGACTAATTGTTTTATCTGATATTATAGGTGTAATACTTTTTGTATAAAGGCAAATGAATTTCATGTACGCCACTGTTTGAGTATGATACTATTGTTAAATAATAAAGTATATCTTACTTTATCTTATCTTAACATGTTTTACTTTATTTATTAAATAGAATAGGCCTAATGTTAATTATCAATATGTGACACTCAGAGATAATTGTTGGTACCTTATTTCATTATTATTGCATTGTTATATGTGTTATTTAATGTTATTATTAAATCATCGTTTTCAGGGTGAAATGGGGAAGTCAGGTGTATTAGATACCACCTCTGGACCAATGGCGATACAGTTTAGATATGTGACCGATCAGTGCACATCAGAATCGACTGGAACTGTTCGTCTTAACGAAAACGGTAGCAAAACAATTTCTAAATAACTTAGAGAAAAAGTTTCTCAAAAATATTCAAATTTCTACAAACTGCTATTCAATATAATATATTCATCAATTCTTTTATAGGAAACGCTCTCGAGTTGTGTTCATTCAATAGATGGTTCGTACTCGGGAACATGTTTCAACGGGACACCATGCTACCGAAATCGTGTCTTGATTTGTTATTTCACAGAACTGTTCAAGGCAATGGAATGTACTGGATAAATGCAAAACCTGGGTAACTTAATTGAAGTTCTGAAACACTAAAGCTGCTAGTCTCTGTCTTATAGATGTACACTATTAATACCTTTCCATTTTAATTTCAGCACCGG